TTCCACCCGGCAGCTTCTCCACCTGCACCCCGGAAGCGGGGTGCTCATCAGCGATAATGACCGGGGGCTCCTTCTCGGCGACATCCCCCTTCTTCGGCTTTTTGGTAGCCGGGGGGGACCCCTTGGTCGCTGCCTTCCTCTTGCCGGCAGCGGCATCGCCCTCGGCTTTCTTAAAGAGGGCAGTGGCGGGCTTCTGGCTGCCCTGTCCCGACCCCTTCGGGTCCTGTTTCTTCAGACGGGCAAGGCCCTTTACGTTCACCATAGAGACGGGGATACCTGCACAAAGGAGACAAAGGGTTAGTTCGACGGGTATAAGCGAAGGGACAATAACATCCAAGCAAAAAAAAACTAAGTACAGAATTCTAAAGCTCTCGGCTCCTACCTCCGGTCCCTCCGAAGGCCTTGTTGAAGGGAGGGTACTTTTCATCGGTCTCCCCTATGAAGCGGTACCTCCGGAACCCGAGGGTGTATAAATCCTCCTCGAGGGTGCAGTCTTTGATCGCCACGTTCTTATTTTTCCCCTCCGGGAACTTGGCCAGCTTTAGGCCGTCTTTCTCGAGAGCGGCACTCCTGATCTTTTCGTGCCTTCGGAATCGATCACGCAGCTCCCTCGGGAATGGGCTCTCATCCAACTTTACGTAGCACCAACGTTCCCTCCATCCTTTGTTGGAAGAAGGAGCATCGGAGAATAGTTTGAAGCGGGCAATCTGCTGCAGGTTGGCGTACCCCTCGCCGTTTTCGTGCCCCCCCCCCCCCCCCCGGCACAAATTAAAGCTCTGGAAGAATAGATCCAGGCTGGGCTTCACCCCTCGGGACTTGCAGAGCTGGAGGAACCCCGCAATGTAGGAGTGGCTATTGGGCGTGAGTTGGCAGGGGACCAAGCCAACAAACCTCAAATATTCCCGGAGGAATGGGTGCAGAGGGAACCTAAGTCCCATGGAAACCGAAAGGACGTGAATAGCGATACACCCCTCGGGAGCCCTGGACAACACGTCGTCGGGACCTGGCTCCACCACTTCGGCCGAGGGCCCCACGTGCAGCTGAGTCACGTACAGATCTGCCCTGTCAGCCTTCGACCTGATCTCGAGGGCCTCAGTGTTCAGCCAATTGTACCCCTCGGGCATGTCCACGGGCTTTCCTTGATCGACGGCCCTCTCCTTCTTCTTGGTAGCGGCCTTCTTCTTCTTCGAACCGGAAACCGCCCTCAGAGGTATCGGATCCAACGGCCTCGAGCTACTGGCCTCCCCGGAACCCCGAGGGGGGAGAACAGCAATCGTAACCTTCGAGCTCTCATTCTGTGCCTCATCCTCCGTTGTCTGCCATGCGAGGGCTAAGTCTTCATGATCGCACTCCTGCTCGAAGCCCTCGGCTTCAACCTCCGCAATGAGTTCCTTCTGGACCTCCCGGGCCAGGGCTGCATCACCACCATCCGAGGGTTGACCACTGCTTGACTCCACGTCGGAGATGCCTTCGTCCTCCATCGAGGGCGTCCTCGAGATATCTAGAGAATCACTCTGGGACGACATTCTGACTCTAGTTCGAAGGCTCGTACAGCTAGTGTTTTCTAAATGTTCTATCTCCTAGCCTAGGGGCGCAGTACAGGTAGCTAAGAGGTGAAGGGTAACTGGAGAACTGACCTTAAGAACAGAGGATTCAACCGGGGGCTGCTGTTTCTCTCTCTAGAAAAATTGGCAGAGCTTCGCTAACAAGTTTTTCGCACACGGAGGAATGCCTGGCCTTAGGGTATTTATAGGCGCTGGAATCCGGGCTTGGGCCTGGGTTCCGGGCCTCCGGACGGACCGCCATCATTACACACCGCGTCTTCACCCAACCAGTGATGCCGCCCACGGACAGCCAGCCATCACACGCCACGTGTGCCACCCCCCAACGGCTATATCCTGTCGTTACATATTCCAACGGCTATATATCCAACGGCTATATTTTGGAAGCCCCCGGGTTTTCTACTTCACTCCTCTTCATCAAGGATAGCCTCCGGGTACACTCACTCAGAAGTGCCCCCGGGTTGTGCCCCACACAGCACATAACAGATGCCTTCGGGATCACTCCTTCAGAAACCCAGGGCTTCATATCAGAGCACCCCTCGGGGATTCCCCCTCAGCACTGCAAAACTGGGTAGCCCCCGGGGAGTTCCTCATTGACGGATGGCCCCTGGCACACAGGTAATGGGGAGCCCTCGGGTATCTTCATCACCAACAAATCAACAAACAGCGGATCCCCCCGGTAACAACTTCACTGCCGCCCTCATCTGGCAGGCCCTCGATCCCTGCATTGAGGGACTCCCCTTCGGCGCCACCAGGACATCAACAACAAGCCTTCGGCTAATCAACACAGGAGCCCTCAGAAGAGAGAGCCTTCGGCATTCCCGTCATTCTCCATTTTTACCAAGGTTTGACATTTTCGATTCATCATTGGGGGAATTCGGTGCACTCTTTTTCCCTCATTAGGATTTTTTCCCAAAGGGTTTTTCCTAATGAGGTTTTTAACGAGGCATCCCCCCAAAATGAAACAAAAAGCGTCAGCCTTCGGCCCGCAACAGCAACGCAACTACTCTACTCCTTTTCACCACTTTACAAGTGCCTCAAGGAGTGGGGGACTGCAGGACCCCCTCGGGAAAATCATTAAATTACAAAATCTGTGAAATTCCAACAAACAACAAAGCAAGCCCTCAAGTCCCGACATGTGGGTAACTGAGGGACTGCCTTCGGCAGGGACATAAAAGCAACAACTCCTCACCAACTTCAGAGATCACGACGGGACAACATCAAAGGGCAAGCACAAATTACTCCTTTTCCCTCAAGTACCTTTCGGCAAAAGGAGTGAGGGACTCCTGATGGAGTATATGGCCCGGGAACCCCCGGCCCACAGACTCCTACTACTCCAGCGAAGGCCCAACAGGCCCAAAAGGCCCAACAGGCCCAAATCACAGCGCCCAGAGTACCAAGCAGTCTGCACAACGCGCCAGGGGTGCCTTCGGCCCCCTGGCCGAAGGCTCCAAATTCTCACAGAACGGGTTTCTCAAGCAAACTAAGAAACTGGGAGAAAACGGTGAAAACAGCAGCCCTCGGCACTGTGAGCCCTCGGCACCAGGGGTGCCATCGGGTGGAAGAGCCCTCGGCTACTGCTCTATAGCCGAAGGCGTCTCACTCGACAAGATATCCGCCTCACATGCGTACAGATCACCGTACCCCGCACAGACGTCCCATCCAACAGCCGCATTAAATGCGGCCACATGCGGCTGCCAGCGCCAACCAGTTGAGGTGACCCCTCGGCCAATGAGCGCTTGACACGTGTCCCTGCCCGGCATTTATTGCTACTATAAATAGCATCCCTTTTCCCCATTTGTAACCAAGTCATAACACACTGAATACACTCTCTCTACTTTTATTTACTTGCTCTGACTTCTCTCTAAGTTACTTCCCGCAATAACTCTTCGGATATATACCCCCGGGTAGACTATCCATCAACATCGATCTGTGCTATCACTTCATCAAAGACCATGTGGAAAAGGGGATATTGATATGTACTTTGTAAGCTCTGAGCTTCAACTGGATGATTTGTTCACTAAGGCTCTGGATGAAAAACGATTCCAGTTCCTGGTATCCAAATTGGGCATGTTGAACCTCGAGCCAGTGTAATTTCATCTCCACTTGTCTGTAAAAAGTGTGCGTGTGTGGGACTTGTAATTAGTGTGTGTGAGTTGCATGTGTGGAGGGGGAGAAAAAGCGGAAAAAATATCAAAAAGAGTGTGTGTGAGTTGCATTTGTACAAAGTGTGCGTTGCATGGTTTGAGGGGGAGAAAACCCAGAAAAATACAAAAATAGCGTGTGTGAGTTGCATATGTACATTGCGTGAGTTATACATCAAGGGGGAGAAAAGGGTAAAATTTCAAACATAGCGTGTGTTGCATGTGTGAGTTTTTTTGTTTTTTTATTTTTTTATTTTTTTTATCATTTCTTCCTTGCATTTTCGGGGGGCCTAAAATAATTTTCAAATAAAAATAATCCCAGCACTCCTCTTTGGGCTCGAAGAAGAAGAAATAAACCCGCACGGCCCATCTGTTTTTTCGCATATAAAAACAAGTTTCAGACCGTCTTCTTCACTATTCTCGCATTCTACAAATCTCAAGGTCTCGCATTCTACGAATCTCCGTCTCTTTCATCTCGCAATCACTTTTCTTTTTCTCCATCGATAAAAAAAACAGAAGGTAGCTAACAGGGTTTCGATCATCTTTCTCTGGGTTTCCAACCTGCTTTCGAATTACCCTAATCTTTTGAACTGATGAACTCGAACAACTTTGAACACAATAAATCTCAACGTATTTAAGGGGTTTCGATTTGTGTTGTATACGTGTTTTGATTTGTTTGCAGGTGGAAATCTTCATCGTTTGTTGGGGCGAACTCGAGATTCATCTTCTCGTGGGTTAAAACTTGTTTCGGAGCTCTTCGTTTCAAATTCGAGTCCAGATCGCGAGTTTTAAACTCGCAGTCATAACTCGAGTTTTAAACTCGCAGTCATGAACTTGAGTTGTAAACTCACGGTTATCAACTCGAGTTTTAAACCTCGAGTTCTGACCTCGAGTTTAAACCTCGCATTCTGACCTCGAGTTTTAAACCTCGAGTTCTGACCTCGAGTTTAAACCTCGAGCTTTAAACCTCAAGTTCTGACCTCGAGCTTTAAACCTCAAGTTCTAACCTCGAGTTTAAACCTCGAGTTCTGAACTCGAGTTTTATACCTCGAGTTCTGACCTCGGGTTTAAACCTCGCGTTCTGACCTCGAGTTTTAGACTTCGAGTTCTGTCCTCGAGTTTTAAACTGAAGTTCTGATCTCGAGTTTTTACCTTAGCAATTCGATGATGTCCACCTGCCACATGTGTTTTTCCTTTAAAAAATTGCAAAATCCAAAAGCATCAGATATTTCAAAAAAAAAAACTAACTAACCAAGGAGGACCTTTGTGCTGATCCCATTGTTTTTGTTTTTAGCTCATTATGTCAGGGACAGAGCAGAACGAAGCACCCCACACTAAGCTGTTTCCCAAGGAAAACTGGGTCCGGCTACAGGACAACAACTACCAGCTTGACTATGCGCTGTTCAAATGCCCAGACCCTGTCATCCCCGTCATACTCCAAGGGCACTACATTTGGCCGGCACTCACCAAGGCAGCACCTGTCCCGGAAGTTTACCTGCAACAGTTCTGGAGTACCATGCACACGACCTCAAAGAAAGACAGGTCGAAGATTCTTGCTACGTTGCACAACAGGTGGCTGGTACTAACTGTTAGTCCCCTAGATTTTGATGAAAAGTTTTTGATGATGCCAAAGGCTCCTCAAATGTCCTCCCCCCCTTCTTTTGTAGCATTAGGAAATTAAAGTGTTGTATTTTGCTCCAACCAAGTGCTAGTGAAATGTTATCCAAAAAGTGTCACATCCGAACTATCAAATTAACAAATAGATATAACTGGAAAAACATAAAAAGCAATAAGGTAATATTCTATTATCTTAAAAAGGATTTCTCATAAATCCAACCAGTTAAATTTATTTGTTACATCAAACATTTCGAACAAATAAACTATTTATTAAAACTGGAATACAAAATGCAATAAGGTAATAATTTTTACCTTAATAGGATTTGTTATCCTACCACTTAAATACTTGGTTTATGTTCGAATTAAGGGATGGGCTATACACAACCAAGAGTGACCAAAAGTGAAAAAAAAAATATTTTTATTAAATAAAATATTACCGGAAAAGTAAAAATGCAATAAGGTAATATTTATTTACCTTAATAGGATATTTTAAGATCCTACCGGTATATATTTATTTGATACAATCATTTTTATTAAAAGGCATATTGGTGTGAAAAATGTGTCGAATTGAGAAACAAATTAATGTACAATTTTTAAGCACTAATAAAATTATTACTGGACAATAAAATGCAATAAGGTAAATTTATTTACCTTTAATAGGATATTTAAATCCTACCAGTATAATTTTATTAGACCTAGAAATTATATTGTTCGAACACATTTAAGAAAATACTTCAGTAATCACATGAATGATTGAAGACAAAACTTGACCGGTATTTAATACCGAATCAAGTACTGGGGGTCGCGGCATGGGACGCACAATGAAACTGTGGAGAGAAAAACTTCAACGCGTGAAATATTCAAAGACAAATGCATCAGCTTGAATTAAAGCTCCAACACAAAAAGACGGAAGTACAATTTGTCTTTGCCAGAAATTCAACGGAAGAGATGAATTTATCCTAACCAACGGATAAGATTGATCAGCCAAAAAGCCTATAAATAGAGGCTGAAACGAAAGTTTCTAACCAAGCATGAGCATCCTAAGTAGAGAGATATTTCACTGAGCAAGAAGTGCTATTCTATCCACGACTCTCTGCTTAGACTCTTGCTTCACTAAACTTCTCAGTATCAAGTATTCATTGCCAAAATCCTAGAAGTTTAGTTCCTAGTTGGAGGTTAGAACTTTCTTGTAACCACAATCAGAAATTGTTGTAAACACTTCGAGGACAGTTGTTCCCGGCCTGAGTGTAGTTAGATAGGTTAGGAGTACCTTTTGATCCCCACTGGATCAATTGAGAAAAACCTAAAGGATTGAGTAGCTTGGAGTGGTGTTGTACTCCTCGTGAAACACCTTCAATCTAGGCCAGAGTTGTCAAGGCTAGATTGGCACTAAGTGTATTAGGCTTAATACATTAGTGAAATCCATTTGAAATAGGATGGGACTGGATGTAGGAGGATTACACCACCTCTGAACCACGATACATCGTGTGTTGATTTCCTTAGTCAACAAAGCACACACCCAACACTTCTAGTATAAGAAATTGTAGTTTGCCAGCAGCATTTTAAGCAGTTGTCTTAACTGACCCAACTGCTTATCCTACTGCTTAATCACTCACCTTTTCTTGAGATAACCTTTTCACAAGAGCTTCGCAACATCACTGTCTAAAGGTACACTTTGCCAGAAATCATTTCTCTTACTAAACCAGGTGGCTCAGCAGTTCCCTGGTTTCACTCAACTGCTGAGACCTCTGCTCAGGCAAAAACACCTTAAATTCTCAAGCTCAGTATCCAATCAGGAAGCCCTCATCACACTATACAAGGTCACTTAATCACTAGAAGAGTCGCTCTATCAGATTCCAGGAATTCACTCTTCAAGTATAGCAGAGACCTCGGCAGACCCCTGGTGACCACCCAACTGCTGAGCCCTCTGCTCATACAAACTTACTTCCTGTGAACATCTCAAGTATCATCACAGTCTCATAACATCTCTAGTAAGAAGGCAGTCTGAACCAAGCTACGAGTCCCAGTTTATAATACCAGCAGGTGACTTAGCAGTTCACTCAGTACCTCCCAACTGCTGAGACCACTGCTGAAATACAACTGTAGCTTCCTTTCAACTAAAGGATATTGTCCCACTGCCCTCTTCATCCTAAACAATATTCCATCATCATTTTTATTTGTCTAGCAGTTGCCTCAGCAGTTCCCTATTACCTAGCCAACTGCTAAGCCAACTGCCAAGCCAACTGCTAGCTATCTAAGTCCAATCTTCCCAAAATCAGAAAGTGGTTAAAACATCCATTATACAAAGGGTAATTACTTCCGTTGTGCATCTATTAATCTCTCAAAAGATTATAGATCAACTCCTCTAGAGGGAAATCTTTGTAAAGGTCAAAAAGATTTAAAAGTCTATTCACCCCCCCCCCCCCCCCTCTAGACTTTTACCCTATCCGGGACCATCACTAACTCCATCAACACTGAGAACCACTTTGGAGCTGCCAGTGCACACCACGTACGATCCACTCCCGTCATGGACTGAACTGATCAAAGGAATGGAGACTCTGGGCTATGATGCACCTTTGCCGATGATGTCAAATTTTAAGATGATGAATCTCCCTTACCCATGGAAGATCCTTTTTGGCCTCGTCAACAAGTGTCTGTCTCCAAAGCACGCCGGCCACGACAAATGTAACCCGCAAATACGACAAATCTTCCATGGGATAGCCTTCAACAAAAAGTACGACAAGGCACAACTGTTCTGGATGGAGCTGATGGACCAAGTCAAGGCAAAAGAAAACAATAAAGCCGTCATGACGATCCCTTACGCTATATGGTTGGCTCTCATCATAGATGACTACATGTCAGCAAATCAAGGGATCCCGCGGCGACAAGATGAAGAGCAGTTCGTTGCCCCAAAAGTTCAGTATTTCAAAAGCTTCAAGCACGACATTGTTGGCATGGCTATTCCTGATTATCTGCTAAATCTCGCCAATCCAAGGAACCCAGCAGTTGTTAGATACAGAGAGGATCTCTAGAAAAAGGTCCCTACGGTTAAGCGAAACCCAACTGGACCTGCCCCGGGGACCAAGCCGATTGTTAGTAAGGGTTCAAAGAGCGCCCCAAAGCCACAGAAACCAGTGGCCTATCGGCCCTATGAAGGAAAGTCCGACGATTCTCTCGAGAAGAGTCGGACGGCTGAGGGCACCTCGACGGATGCTGAGGAATCTGCTGATGAATCGTCAAGTTTGGCCCTTAATAAGACTGACGATGAGGCATCCGATAGCGTGGCCACCCGCAGTAATGATGAGGATGATACTGATGATAATGAGGATGATGATGATGATGATGACGACGGCGTTGAGGCCACTTATGCCCTGATTCGGAAAGGGAAGATGCCCGGGGAATCTCCAAAGAAGATTAGCGCTGATGAGGCACAAACGGTTCTCACAACTCGATCCAAAACCATCACCATAACAGAGAACCAGTCTACACACGACGAAATCCGCAGACCCAAGTCCAATTATAATGAGGCTGAGCATGCTATCAAAAATTCTGAAGATGTCGTCATCCGCGAGAAACACGCAAAAGTCAGAAATGACATCTCTAAGTCATCCAAGTCCACACAAAAGCAGCGTGCTAGAAAAAGCTTATTTGACGATGCCGATTTGGACGTCTTTGCTGACTATGACCCCTTCATCAATATAAGCCAAGTCGAATCCCTAAGCACAGGAGCCGATTTTTCGGTTCCCGAGTAGAAGTCGCAGCATCAGGCTCAACTGCGCATGCACCACCTTCTCCCAGCCACTCGTTAGCCTCCCAACAGGCTAACGTTTCAAAATCACGGGAACAACCCCCCTCACAGATTCCTTCTGAATCTGCTGAGAAAACTAGTGGCCACCAACCCGAGGCCACAACCCCTCTTTCGCACACATCGAGTCTAGGTGTCACACTTCCAAACTTTTTAGATTTTTCTAGGACACCTACACTTTTCACTGCACAAACAAGTGCACACACCCTCAATGCAATGACCCGAGTGAAAACAATGATGGTTGGAAGTCCTGCTACGCAAACACTGGTTTCACCATTAAACTCAGGCCACACATAAGTTGTCTTCACTAATGATGTGACAACAATTACCACCCCCGTAATTGGTCACCCCACCTTTGAAGATATCAACGTTCTCATGAATCGCTTCCTGGATTCCATCATAAAGCCATGGGTGCAAGGAGCAATGACCGCTTTTGCACAGGAATTTAAGAACACCCAAGCGGTTCAGCCTGAACATCCCGCACGCCAACCCTCACCCGAGCCCTTACCCTCTTATACCCAACTGTTACCTTCCCTGGTCTTATCTACCCAATCCACCAACCAACTTCCTGCTTCTTAACCTTCTCGGGGAACCCAGGATACACAGCTAGTGTCTTCCCCTACATCGACCACACCCTACCCCAATCCCTATTCCATACCTACCCCACAGTTGGCTGATATCCTTTTCCTCCACCTCTGTTCCACTGAAACCTGTAACCTTACCCCTTTTGAAAAGGATCTCATTGCAGTCTTCTACAAACATAACCGCCCACCACTGAGCCCTTGTTGTGACAGTCCCCGTGGCCACAAACGTTCGCATGAGGACCCCGACGATTCAGAACCTCATGAGGGGGAGAACAAGCGGCCCCAGATACTTGAGCAAGGTGTTTCCTCTAGCCACACCCCGCAGCCAACTCAACCTTCACCTCCAACCAATCAACAGCCACCCACCTCTAGCCAGAACCAAGCCAAACTCACTAGCACGGTCGAGCTAGTTTGAACATCCCGAGGCTTATCTCCAAGAGATACTGTCCGAGGAGAGGATGGAAGTCCTGACGATGTTACGTCCGGTACATCACTTAGTTCAGGCCATCAGTCAGAACATAGTTCGAAACCGGTGACAACATCCCAAGGCTTATCTCCAAGAGATACTGTCCGAGGAGGGGATGGAAGTCCTGACGGTGCTATCTCCGATACAT